GAAGTTCAACTTGCCGTATAGGGGGAAGCGTCCGAATGGTCGTGCTGACTTGCATATCTAAAATACTGTAGCTACTAATAGCCCTCGTGTTTCGGCCTTCTTGATGCATTTTAATTTGCCGTATTTCTCGGTTGTCTCTTTTCCTTCTGACTCCTTCCTTTTTGAGTAATATACTTTGTCTAGTTCTTTTTCAGGTTTCTTAACTAGAGTATCAAAGGCGTGGCACTCTTGTATGGATCGTGGTTTCTGTCTACTAGCTTTCACGTCTCTTACTCCCTCGCCGTCCTCATTCTTTATCTTTTTTATGTTATCTTTCTTATTCTTTTTTCAATTTTCTTTGCTTTTCTTTTTCTTTTCTTTCTTCTTTTTTACTATCTGTTTCTAATGATCTATGTTCAATTTCCTGCAAGCCACAGGAATAAGGCTAGGAGGCGATCGGCCTTCGATCATCAGGTTCAGCGGGAAACATAGGGAAAAGTTGCCAGCGATCAGTACAAAATACATTAGAGGTAATGAAAAATTCAAAAACCATTACATATTTATGTCTACTGCCCGATTGCCATTATCATTATTAATACTATCATCCCTGGGGAGTAGCAGCAGTGGTCCGTAATAACAGAAGATTACGGAACATATGGCATGTCTCCCTTTGGCGCAGGCTGGCCACCCCAGCCAGTAGTCCACATGCAGTCTCAAGCGTATCCAGACCTTCAAGTAGGTTCTGCATCGATAGACACTGCATGTGCTGCATGCAGCATGAATGGATTTATTTCGGTGGAGATGGATGACATTGTCTTACCTGATTAATGCGACTCTTTGGCAACCCACTCTCCCCACCCCCCTTCTGATGCCCAAGCATTTCATCTATCTACCTACTGATGAGAATGGGCTTACTTGAGGTAGTTCAGGGTGATCCAAGATCAGGCCTTTCTATTCGGCGGAAGAATAAGCCGTCCACAACCGGCGTGCTGATTAGCTTCTAGATAATTCGTCTTGCAATGGTGGGGACAGTCGGTATGACTATCATTTCCATGGCTATAGTACTAATGTTATCAGGTCTCTTCATTCCGGTTGACATCAATCGATGATCGCTTTCCTCTTATATTATGCATGATGCCGGTATATACCATGTTTTTCGATGTATACTGGCTTGGCTGCTCAAAATGACAGAAAAGGAATCAATAGAAAGATCCATGGATAGAGAAGGAAAAGAGCAGATTGGATAGGGTTATATTGCGGCACGGGGGAGGAAAAAAAAAATATATAGTAATAACACATAACCCTAACTCCGTCAAAATCACTCCATAATCTGTCATTTAGAGCAGTTAAACTACTAACTTTCACCAAAGTAATAAGTACCTCGTCACTAGCTATTAGAAACCAACGTTTATGAATACAAGCCTCATTCGTTGTAGGGCTAATTTCCGTGGGAATTGTAATCGCAGGAGAAACCAGAAGACCGTCGTTCCTGGGAGTGGTCGACCCCGACCCGCTCTTTAGATTGACCGTCTGCAACTAACAATGTAGCCTAGCTTGGCGTGGCAGATGGGTCGTGACTCGTAAGGGTGCCTTCGACCAGCACTAGTCGTGGGACTAGTTGATGTATGAGTGACACCAGCATGAACTAACCAATTCTAGTTATACAGGGCATTAACCTGGAAGACCGGGTTCCTCAATCCGAAAACAAGACCGCAGGCGGAGGGGGTCTAGCAAATCTGCTTCCCATTGACCCTACCCTCACACGTAGGTACAATGCACGTCTCTGCCTAAGAACACTATGTGCGTCCCTCCACTGTCCCCCTGGATAGCCAGACAGACGAGTAAGCATAGTTGATACACTCCGAGTGGACAGACCAGCCAAAAAAGCAGCACATCGTCAGCTGAACTGAATGCTCTGTGCCACCATCGGGATGGGGCTTAGGGTCTTTTAAGAGGCTCACTCCTCCTGCATCTTGGACTGGTGCCTTCAGTAGCGAATGAACGACTGTTAGGTACTCTCCGACATTGTTACTTTTTTCTCTCTTCTTCCTCCGTTTCCCATTAATATTTAACTTGAGTTGTTATTTATTTATTTACTTATTGATTTATTGATTTATTATTTCCCCCCCCCCTTGGTTACATGACCGTCCCCGTTATACAGAAACGCGACAGGTTTTTTCCTGGGGTATGGAGCCCACCTGAGTTGTTGATGGAGTTATTGTTCGATAGCTCGGCTAAACTTTGCGCTTCTGCAGCCGATCGCCATCACCTTCATGCCTCTTCATTCAAAACAAAAGTACGATGGATCCTTAACTTTCGCCTTCCCACGGGCCGTACCGACAGTTTTAAAGGTAGGTGTTGCACTCGCTTGCATCCGTTCATTAAGCTCCGCATTGACCGGTCTCGATGCATTGCATTGTTAATCTACGTTATTTGTACGTATGTTTCAGTAAGAACTGATAATAGGGTTATAAATAAATACATACAGGGTGTATTCCTTGCTATGCTTGCACATGTCTATCCCTCTTATCTTTACTGATATTCCCCCTTTCATCTCCCCACCTCGAATGGAAAGTAGGCGATGAATAATATATATTGGAGCCAACATGTAGAGGATGATCCGCGAAATACACATAGATAGATACACCGCAACATAATGGGCCAACACCCTTTCCAATGCAGTAGTTCGTTCCATATAAATGATCCATGTCAACATTCTCCACGCCACTAACGCTGCAGATTTGGGATCAGGACCAACTTTGTTCACGTTGAGCTAATCAGACAAACAGCCCACATCCAAGACACGATAATCGCCCGGAAGCCTAACCGAACTGTTGTTTCGATCAGTCACTTTTTAGATTTGTTACTATTTTAGTCAACTCTTGGGAATCGTGCCATTCGACCTATGATCTTAGATAAATTATTGCGCCCCAGGCCAGCCGTTGCCTTCCCGTTGCCTTTCCACTCACCCTTAATTCCAGACAATAGCGTGCTTCACACTACGATTTACAATAAGTGGGGAGAGAGAAATTCAGGGCAAAGAAAATTACATAAAATAGAGAATACGAAGGCTGACATAGTGTAATTGACGATCTCTATGTCAGGTCCGAGAGTACTATCCCCCTGAGGGACCTTCCCCCCCCTACAGTTGAAATCCATGAAGCGTACGCAGCATGCAGACATACTTCCCAGTACAGGTTAGGGTTGGGTATCATCACGCCAGCGGGGGAGGCGGTCACACCCCAGCCTTTCGTTCCGAGTGGTCTGGCTATCTTTTCCCCCTCCTTTCCATCATTCTCGACTGGATGATTCCCTCTGAAAGAAAGGTGAGTAATGGATCGATGGATTGATGCAAGGAACCTAAACGAAATTAGGAAATAAAAAAGAAATTAACACCAACGAATCCTCACCGCTTTATAGGATGGCAGCCGAACCGTGCACTATCAATCTATGGTACGGAAGGTTTATTGGTTACATGCGATGTTCTGCATTATTAGCGGTCATCCCATGGTTAATACTTTCTCCTGCCTGTCTTGGTGTCCCATCTTTGCTTTTTAGTTGTCTAGCCCTTTCTGGAGATTATCGGCCTAACAGATATGCGCAGGAGCAAATAGTTTCGCTCTGAATCGGGCCTAAGTTCTGTCAGGGTCCGAAGTCAGAGAGCTCTATTCACCACTTCCTGGACGGAGACACCCTCACTTGTCGGACTTTAGCTGCACGCCATCTGGGTGCACAGGCCATGACAAGGATGCTCTGTTTTTGACCTTCATCTACCGATCCCGCGAATGATCACCTCCCCCCTTATCTGGGCAGCGCTGATGAGTGCTCATTTGGTACAACTCATATTCGAAGAACAGGTAGAAAAAGAAAAGAAGGCCTGCAAACAGAACAGCTTGCGCAGAGCACAGATCTCTGTCACTTGTGCGATCAGCCTTCCCAACGGTTCCACCATCCACTCTATGTAGAGTTTAACTATTGACTGCATGCTTGCCGACAGACATACCCAGGAGTCCGCATGTTCGCTCCCGATGTATGACGATCACAGTCGTACTATTGTCACGATACCATCCACAGCCCGTTAGATGCATTGTTCACAACCACCCACCCGGCCCCATCTCAGGGTGGATTCCCAGACACACAGGGAGTTCTCGGAATGTAGCAAGCAAAGGCGTCCCAGTTGCTGCTCAACAGCATTTTGCATATGTACTGGCAAGGGTTTGGACAGATAGGCGAAATTGAACAACCCCCCTCAGGTCTTAGGTTCCCTATTTCGTTTCGTCCATACCACCTATTGTATCGGCTTAGTTTGATTTCGAATAATTTCCTGCATGCCAGCTTTGGCTCCTACTCCTCTTTCCCCTTCGTATCATCTTAACCTTGCTTTTTCTATGATGATCCTCCCGAGACTTGGCGCTGATCGTTATATGGGAAAGCTCCCAGGCGTTGTTTCACGGGGTCCGGCCGAGATGAAAATTCCGCCTGGTGTGAGAAAGCCACACGTGCCGGGCTGAGTGTCTTCCCGCCTGTTGGGGTGGATCTCTGATTGTGATAGATTTGGGAGGAGGCTGTGGATTTGGTGGAGATTGATTGACCGTGCCATTTTTTGATGGATGATGCCATCCATTCTCACTGCAGGGGGCCTTACCTTGGGATTCGGGTTCCTAATGTTACCCGGACCTCGTCTTGGCAATTGTATCTGCCCAGTAGACGGTTGAAGTTGCTCAAGGAACTACAATGCAGGACTGGAGCCGTATGGTTCGAGATATCTTTGACGGCTGTTCCCAGACTACGTGAGATGCACGCTTAGGGCCTGTCCACACTCTCCATAGTGATGAACACCTGTTGCGTTGCAACCAAAAACGCAAGATAGTTGGAGAACTGAGTCTTGAATAAAATTCATAAACACGGCATATCGTAAAGCCGTCGTGTTCACTTTAATCTAAGAGAACCGCACCCAGCCAATTTTAATTTTCCATTTTCGCTCCCACTAAAGAAAAATACTGAGCATATTATGCACCCATTTAGCGCTTGCCAGCGGCCTTCTCCTGAGACTCCTTGAGAACCTTCTTGACGATCTTCTGCTCCTCGATCAGGAAAGCACGGACGATGCGGTCCTTGACGCAGCCAGCGCAGCGGGAACCACCGTAGGCACGGGAGACGGTCTTCTTGGGGCGAGAGATCTGAGAGTACTCGCGGGGGCGAAGAGCGGGGACCTATTGGCAAGAGATCAGTCGCTGTTTTCGCTTTTTGATTGGTCATTGCGATGTCCGATGCTGAGAAATTGTGCGTCTCAATCCACCCTTTTCGAATTGCCTTGAGAGACGCATTCTTCCACCAACTTGGATCGATCGCAAGATTCGCAATAATCATTCGCTTAACTACCAAAAACCATCGGGAGTACTCACACCGGGGAGCTTGATGCCACAGTCACCGCACTTGGGAGCAGTGCCCTTCTTCTTGATGTGGAGGTACCGGAGCTCACCGCCGGGGGTCTTGATGATGCGGACCTTGTTGGACCGCGTGTTGTACCTATAGACGAAATTCTATCAATATCCTGTTCGTGAAGCCCAGATGATAGAACCAAAATCCGCGCTGTGCTAGATATCGCGGCTGAATGCTATCGTATCGAGCGCAATGAGGGGAAAAAATGGGAAGAGGAATTTTCAACGTACGGGTTCCGGCGGCGCTGTGGAAAGAAAAAAAAACGGAAAATTAGTTTCTCATTATCCTGTTGAAATTTGCAGGATGAAATTTACTCACGTATTGGAGTCTCTGGTTCGCCATTTTGATTGTCTTGAACCTCTGTATCGGTCGTCAAGAATTTGGCGGCGGCGTCGTCGGTTGTCGTCGTTAAGCTCTCAGAATTCTCGCAAGTCACCTGGATTTGTGTGGGTTTCACTCGGAGCCCTGGAGTCACGCTAGCGCCAATTTGGCGAGCTGGCGCTAACCCAGATCGGGACTAGTACCGGTCCGAGCAGAGCCGCCACCTCTTTTCAAGCTTGCTCATCAGGAAAGGAGCAAGAAGAGCGCCTTTCATCACCCGTTGCGAGAAGGGGATCGTGCAGGAGTTGTTTCAATCTTTGGGGTTACGATTTAACTCCTCCGCGCGAGATTGCCCAGTTTATTATCACCCCCGACCGCTTTTGTTGATGATTCGCGGTTGTTAATGACTTTTTTCAACGTGAACCTGTGACGCGACTTGCCCGAGCATCAACGTCAATCAGAAAGAGCAGAGTTATCTCCATTCCGCCATTGGCATTATGGCATCATTACCCCCTCCTCCACCTCCAGGATGGGGTGCATCGGCTCCCCCGTCGATGCCTCTGGCTCCACCGCCGCCGGGATATCAGCCGCCAGCTGATCCGACCGTCGCAAAATTCGCTCAGAAGAAGAACGAATGGCTCCGGTCGCAACGAAACCGATTCGGAGAGAAGAGAAAGGGTGGATTTGTTGAAACACAGAAGGCGGACATGCCCCCAGAGCACCTGCGAAAGATCGTGCGAGATATCGGCGATGTATCGCAGAAGAAGTTCAGCAACGAAAAGCGTAGCTATCTCGGCGCGCTCAAGTTCATGCCCCATGCGGTCTTGAAGCTGTTGGAAAACATGCCTATGCCTTGGGAGTCTTCTAGGGAAGTAAAGGTGCTATACCACGTTAACGGCTGTCTCACGCTGGTAAATGAGACTCCTAGAGTTATCGAACCTGTCTTCCACGCCCAGTGGGCCACTATGTGGGTGTGTATGCGCAGAGAAAAGAGTGATCGTAGGCACTTCAAGAGAATGCGCTTTCCTCCCTTCGATGACGAAGAACCGCCACTGTCTTGGTCGGAGAATATCGAGGACGTCGAGCCGTTAGAGCCCATCCAAATGGAACTCGACGAGAATGAAGATTCCCCGGTCTACGAGTGGTTTTACGATCATCGACCTCTCCTTGATACCCCCCACGTCAATGGTCCTAGTTATAAGAAGTGGAACCTATCACTGCCGCAGATGGCGACTCTATATCGTCTAAGTCATCAACTCCTCAGTGACACGGTAGACGAGAACTACTTCCACATGTTCGATTTGAATAGCTTCTTTACAGCAAAGGCTCTGAATGTTGCCATCCCCGGTGGTCCGCGTTTTGAACCGTTATACAAGGACATTGACCCCAATGATGAAGACTTCAGTGAATTTAACGCCATCGATCGTATCATTTTCCGTGCTCCAATTCGCACAGAATACCGTGTCGCATATCCTTTCCTGTACAATACTCTCCCCAGAAGCGTGAAAGTTTCTTGGTTCTCCCATCCGCAAGTTGTTTATGTTCGGACCGACGACCCCAACCTTCCCGCCTTTTACTTCGACCCTGTAATTAATCCAATCTCCTCTCGCTCCGTCGCGCCCAAGAACATCACTGTTAGCCACGAAGATGAAATCTTCGGACCAGGAAATAACGAAGACGAGTTCGAGCTTCCTGGAGAAGTCGAGCCTTTCTTCGCAGATGAGGAGCTTTACACCCCGGAGACCGCATCCGCCATCGCGCTCTGGTGGGCTCCTCACCCATTCAACAAGCGCTCTGGAAAGATGGTTCGTGCACAGGATGTGCCATTGGTGAAGCAATGGTACCTCGAGCATTGCCCACAGGGTCAACCCGTCAAAGTTCGCGTGTCTTACCAGAAGCTTCTGAAAACGTTTGTGCTCAACGAGCTTCATAAGAAGAAGCCCAAGGCCCAAAACAAGCAGAATTTGATGAGGACCCTGAAATCGACCAAATTCTTCCAGCAGACAACGATCGACTGGGTTGAGGCTGGCTTGCAAGTCTGCCGCCAAGGCTTCAACATGCTTAACTTGTTGATTCATCGCAAGAACTTGACATACCTGCATTTGGACTACAACTTCAACTTGAAGCCGGTTAAGACCCTGACCACAAAGGAGCGGAAGAAGTCTCGTTTCGGAAATGCTTTCCATTTAATGAGAGAAATTTTGCGTCTTACCAAACTAATTGTTGATGCGCAAGTCCAGTATCGTCTGGGCAACATCGACGCTTTCCAATTGGCTGATGGTATTCTCTATGCTTTCAACCATGTAGGACAGCTGACCGGTATGTACCGTTACAAGTACAAGCTGATGCATCAGATTCGTTCTTGTAAGGATCTGAAACACTTGATCTACTACCGATTCAACTCTGGCCCGGTGGGTAAAGGCCCTGGATGCGGTTTTTGGGCACCGGCCTGGCGCGTTTGGTTGTTCTTCATGCGTGGTATCATCCCTCTTCTTGAGAGATGGCTTGGGAACTTGCTGTCTCGTCAGTTCGAGGGTCGCCACAGCAAGGGAGTTGCCAAGACAGTTACGAAGCAGCGTGTGGAATCTCATTTCGATCTCGAACTTCGTGCTTCCGTCATGGCCGACTTGATGGACATGATGCCTGAGGGTATCAAGCAGAACAAGATCAACACAGTCCTTCAACATCTCTCGGAGGCTTGGAGATGCTGGAAGAGTAACATTCCTTGGAAGGTTCCTGGATTGCCTGCTCCTATCGAAAATATCATCCTTCGGTATGTCAAGAGCAAGGCCGACTGGTGGATTTCCGTCGCGCATTACAACCGTGAACGAATTCGCCGTGGTGCTACTGTGGACAAGACTGTTGCCAAGAAGAATCTTGGCCGACTCACTCGGTTGTGGCTCAAGGCGGAACAGGAGAGGCAGCATAACTACCTGAAGGATGGTCCTTACGTGTCCTCTGAAGAGGCTGTCGCTATCTACACCACCATGGTACATTGGCTCGAGTCCCGCAAGTTCTCTCCAATCCCATTCCCTAGCGTCTCCTACAAGCATGATACCAAGATTTTGATCCTTGCTCTGGAACGTTTACGTGAAGCATATTCCGTCAAAGGTAGACTCAATCAGAGCCAGCGTGAAGAGCTTGCTCTTATTGAACAGGCCTACGACTCCCCTGGAACGACACTGGCTCGAATCAAGCGATTCCTTTTGACCCAGCGAGCGTTCAAGGAAGTCGGCATCGACATGAACGATAATTACAGTCATATCAACCCCGTGTACGATGTGGAGCCTATTGAGAAGATCACCGATGCTTACCTGGATCAATATCTCTGGTATCAGGCAGACCAACGCCACCTCTTCCCCTCTTGGATCAAGCCTTCCGATTCCGAAGTTCCTCCGCTGTTGACATACAAGTGGGCACAAGGCATCAACAACTTGTCCAATGTTTGGGAGACTGCCGATGGCGAGACAAATGTAATGATTGAGACGGAATTGTCGAAGGTTTACGAGAAGATCGATCTTACTCTATTGAACCGACTGCTGCGTCTGATCATGGACCACAACTTGGCTGACTACATCACCTCCAAGAATAACGTGCAGCTCAGCTACAAGGACATGAACCACACCAACAGCTACGGTTTGATTCGGGGTCTGCAGTTCTCTGGCTTCGTCTTCCAGTTCTATGGTTTGATGATTGATCTGCTGCTTCTTGGACTTCAGCGTGCTAGTGAAATGGCGGGTCCACCTCAGAGCCCTAATGACTTCCTGCAATTTAGGGATCGTGCCACCGAGACCAGACATCCTATTCGTCTGTATACCCGCTATGTCGACAGGATTTGGGTGTTCTTCAGATTCTCTGCAGACGAGTCCAGGGATCTTATTCAGCGCTTCTTGACGGAAAATCCAGACCCCAACTTCGAAAACGTTATCGGTTACAAGAACAAGAAGTGCTGGCCGCGTGATTGCCGAATGCGTTTGATGCGGCACGATGTCAACCTGGGTCGCGCTGTGTTCTGGGATTTGAAGAACCGCCTGCCAAGATCAATCACGACGATCGAATGGGACGATACCTTTTCTAGCGTCTACAGCAAGGACAACCCCAACCTTTTGTTCTCCATGTCCGGTTTTGAGGTTCGCATCCTCCCGAAGATCCGCAATCAGAACGAAGAGTTCTCGGTGAAAGATAGCGTTTGGTCTTTGGTCGACAACACGACCAAGGAACGCACGGCTCACGCCTTCCTTCAGGTAACCGAGGAGGACATCCAGAAATTCAACAACAGAATCCGTCAAATCCTCATGTCTTCCGGTTCCACGACCTTCACTAAGATCGCTAACAAGTGGAACACGGCCTTGATTGCTCTCTTCACCTACTATCGTGAAGCCGCTGTATCGACTGTCAGCCTTTTGGACACGATTGTCAAGTGTGAGACCAAGATCCAGACCCGTGTCAAGATTGGCCTGAACTCCAAGATGCCGTCCCGTTTCCCTCCGGCTGTTTTCTACACCCCGAAGGAACTGGGAGGTCTGGGTATGATCTCTGGATCTCACATCCTTATCCCTGCTAGTGACAAGCGGTGGTCGCAGCAAACCGATACCGGCATTACTCACTTCCGTGCCGGTATGTCACATGACGAGGAAACATTGATCCCCAACATCTTCCGGTACATCATTCCTTGGGAAGCCGAGTTCATTGACTCTCAGAGAGTATGGATGGAGTATTCTCAGAAGCGACAAGAGGCCCAACAGCAGAACCGCCGTTTGACGCTTGAGGACCTGGAGGACAGCTGGGATCGTGGTCTGCCTCGTATCAACACCCTGTTCCAGAAGGATCGCAGTACTCTCAGCTTCGATAAGGGATTCCGTCTTCGGGCAGAATTTAAGCAGTACCAGCTTATGAAGAGTAATCCATTCTGGTGGACAAGCCAGCGTCACGATGGTAAACTCTGGAACTTGAACGCCTACCGTACTGACGTCATTCAAGCTTTGGGTGGTGTAGAGACAATCTTAGAACACACTCTGTTCAAGGCCACTGCTTTCCCATCGTGGGAGGGTCTCTTCTGGGAGAGAGCCTCAGGCTTCGAAGAATCGATGAAGTTTAAGAAGCTTACCAATGCTCAAAGATCTGGTTTGAATCAAATTCCGAACCGTCGCTTCACTCTCTGGTGGTCGCCGACGATCAATCGTGCCAACGTCTACGTCGGTTTCCAGGTCCAGTTGGACCTTACTGGTATCTTCTTACACGGAAAGATCCCTACACTCAAGATTTCTTTGATCCAGATCTTCCGTGCTCACTTGTGGCAGAAGATTCACGAGTCCGTGGTCATGGACTTGTGTCAAGTCTTCGACCAAGAACTGGAGCAACTGGGTATTGAGGCTGTTCAGAAGGAGACTATCCATCCACGTAAGTCGTACAAGATGAACAGTTCATGTGCGGACATTTTGCTTTTCGCTACGAACAAGTGGAACGTTACCCGGCCTTCTCTGCTGTTTGATACCAAGGACGTGTACGAACCCACCACGACGAACAAGTTCTGGCTGGATGTGCAACTGAGATACGGTGACTATGATTCTCATGACATCGAGAGATACGTTCGTGCGAAGTACCTGGATTACACAACTGACAGCATGAGCATCTATCCTTCCGCTACTGGTTTGATGATCGGAATTGATCTCGCGTACAACCTCTACTCTGCATATGGTCAATACTTCCCCGGTCTCAAGACTCTGATCCAGCAAGCTATGGCTAAGGTCATGAAGGCCAACCCTGCCTTGTATGTGCTGAGGGAGCGTATCAGGAAGGGTCTGCAGCTGTATGCTTCTGAGAGCAACCAGGAGTTCCTTAACTCTCAAAACTACTCGGAGCTTTTCAGTCCTCAAATCCAGTTATTCATTGATGATACCAATGTTTACCGTGTCACCATTCATAAGACCTTTGAAGGCAATCTTACAACCAAGCCTATCAACGGTGCCATTTTCATCTTCAACCCCAGAACTGGACAGCTGTTCTTGAAGATTATCCACACCAGCGTTTGGGCGGGGCAGAAGCGTCTGGGTCAATTGGCCAAGTGGAAGACCGCGGAAGAAGTGGCGGCTCTCATTCGATCCTTGCCCGTTGAAGAACAGCCGAAACAGCTTATTGTCACTCGGAAGGGTCTGTTGGACCCACTTGAGGTCCACCTTCTTGACTTCCCTAACATTTCGATCCGTGCTTCTGAACTCCAGCTGCCATTCCAGGCCGCTATGAAGGTGGAGAAGCTGGCCGATATGATTCTTCGGGCGACGGAGCCTCAGATGGTTCTGTTCAACCTCTACGATGAATGGCTGAAGTCCATCTCGCCTTATACTGCCTTCTCCCGACTCATTCTTATCTTGCGTGCCCTGCACGTCAACATTGACAAGGCTAAGATTATTCTGAGACCCGACAAGACTGTCATCACCCAGGAGCACCACATCTGGCCCTCGTTGTCTGATGAGGATTGGATCAAGGTCGAAGTGCAGTTGCGTGACTTGATTCTTAATGACTATGGAAAGAAGAACAATGTCAACGTTCAGAGCTTGACAAGCAGCGAAGTTAGGGATATCATTCTGGGTATGGAGATCAGTGCACCTTCGTTGCAGCGACAGCAGGCAGCCGAGATCGAGAAGCAGCAGGAAGAACAGAAGCAGCTTACAGCCGTCACAACGAAGACCCAGAATGTCCGTGGTGAAGAGATCATCGTGACCACTACATCACAGTACGAGCAGCAGTCGTTCGCATCCAAGACCGAATGGCGCACCCGAGCCATTGCGACATCGAACTTGCGGACCAGGTCGAACAACATCTACATCTCTTCGGATGAGGTTCGTGATGAGGGTTATACTTACATTATGCCTAAGAACATTCTCAAGCGATTCATTACCATCGCAGATCTTCGGGTGCAAGTTGCCGGCTATCTCTATGGTAGCTCACCGCCTGATAACGATCAAGTGAAGGAGGTTCGCACGATCGTTATGATCCCGCAGGTCGGAAATACACGGGAAGTCCAGCTGCCGCACCAGTTGCCCCAGCATGACTATCTGAGTAACCTTGAGCCCCTGGGAGTGATTCATACCATCTCGGGCAACGAGCCGCCGTACATGACAGCAATGGATGTTACTCAACACGCCCGACTGATGAATGAGCACTCCAGCTGGGATAAGAAAACGGTGACGATGACCGTTTCATTCACCCCGGGATCCGTGTCACTGGCAGCCTGGGGCCTCACGCCGCAAGGATACAAGTGGGGTGCCGAGAACAAGGACACGACGTCTGACCAACCGCAGGGTTTCTCGACCAGCATGGGGGAGAAGTGCCAGCTGTTACTCAGTGACAAGATTCGCGGTTACTTCCTGGTTCCCGAGGATAATGTGTGGAACTATAGTTTCATGGGCAGCTCCTTCGGCAGTGTCGAGAAACGGCCAGTGTACGTGAAGATCGACACGCCCCTGAGGTTTTATGATGATCAACACCGGCCACTGCACTTCCAAAACTTTGCAGAGCTGGAGGACATTTGGGTTGATCGATCTGATAACTTTGCATGATCTGCAAATGTGAAAGGCGTTGGAAACGTTATGTATGATTGAACCTTTTTTTTTCCCCGTTTCTTATTATTTTTTATGTGGCTGTTTTCTCCATAGCTTTTAACTTTCTGGTCTTGTTTTCATGATGGCGATTCTCTTTGATCCTTTTGCCTTTTTTTATCATTAATTTATGTATACTCTACGAAAAGGGACAATAAAAAGCGAGGGATGCATTTGGTTTGACTAGGCAATCATGCAACAGTACGGAGACAGCATTGGGGAGGGGGTTTCATTTGCATGTATAGTAAAAGGACTATTCCTCTTGTCAGAGCAGTTTCAGCGGTTATTAATGTATTGATCAGCTGGGGCACAAAAAAAAGATACAATTGAGATTCTAGAGTGGATCAGACCCTGTTCTCCGTTTTCGTGTAGTGCTGATATGAGGGGAGAGACGAGTGGGTATCTTTCAAGAGAGGGGTACATTAGTTGGAATGAAAAGAAAGGAACCCCCAATCAGAAATCCATCAAGGAGAGGACATAATAAGAGAGGGTAATAATGAAAGGGGAAGAAAAAGAAAAAAAAAGAAAAAAAAGAAAAGAGAAACAAATCAGAAAGAAGAGGAAAAGAGAAGGATGATTGTAATCAAACATTTTTCCTTGAACAATGAAAAGGAAGAAGTTTAGGGCATTGGAAGTATGGAGCTGTTTGTGGTTAGTGTCTTGTGACACTCTCTCCCTCCAATGGCTTGCGGTGGCTTCAAGCCTCACTTGGGAAGAAAAAGAGAGACTACTTTCTACCTTCCAAGGAACAGAGAGATCCTGTAGTTTGAGAGGAGAACAACAAACATTGTCCACATTCACGTACCTATTACACCCGCAATGTATCTCAACAATATCGCGCTCCAGGTTGTGATTTGAGTATTTGTTTTGTTCATCTTTGGTATTCTCTATCTCTCTCTATCTTCTTTGTTTTTGTTTTTATTTTATATATTATTTATAATTATTTATTTTTGTATTTGATATTTCTTCTCTCGTGCTTTCTTCTTTATTCTGACCCTGTTATCCTTCACGGCTGTGCTCCGTACGCCACCTTAATTATTGTTTTCCGGCTGTATCCGGAACGCCCTAAAGGGAAATAGAAAAAGCGAAAAACAAGAAAGCAAAAAGGGAAAAAAATGAAAATAAAATAAAAACATAAAAAATAAAAAATAAAAATTTAAGAAATAAAAAAAGAATTCTCCATAATTTGGAAATGTTCCTTCTGACCCATTCTGGGGACAACAGCTTCACTAATATATTTTTTTATTCATTGTTTTCTCTTTTCTTTTTCTTTTTTTTTTCTCTTCCAAATTATTCTTTCGTGTAGGGCAAGCGCAGGCCGTGCCATGGAATTTTTGAAGATCGTCTTCTTTCATGGTCTCACCATTGCAACCAATCAATTCATAGGGTCGGAAGCAAAGTCAAATTACACTCCGGAAAATCACTCGGGCCATGCTAACTTAAAGCTGCGAGATTATACTAGATAACCTCGACGATTGATCCACCTTGGGTCTCGAGTCATATATCGTACCGCGTATCAGTCGACGCTAGGCCAAGGATGGAGCGTTTCTTACGTATGGTTTAAGCCCCTACTTGCCGTTTAAGAAAATGATGATAGGAACTTAAACTAAACTAGTGATGGGACGGCGCTGAACAACCCGTTCTTTCGCCACACGGTCTCGGGCGCTAGCTAGGCTATTATTTCCGACCGTTTTACAGCCAGCGACTGCCTCTGGGGGTAGGTGATCGCGAAAATTAAGGTTGGATAAAGCTCCTTTCATCGTGGTTTGAAGTTGAACAGCCACTTGTCAGGGCACCGGCATCCATCTGCCATTGCTATCGGTCCCGGCCGAAGAATTAAGGAGACACAGATTTAAAAACAACAAAAAAGAAAACGAACGGGCCTAGCCTAGGATTCAACCAAACGTGGGGGGGGGGGGGGAAGGGAAGGAACCGTTTACCATCACTTACGCCTTTTTTGCGTGATCTCTATCTTTGAGCGTGAACAGAAACAGAAAAAGGAAACGAGGTCCAAAAAAAAAAGAAAAAGGAAAAATAAAAATGATCAAATTCCTAGGAAACAACTATTGGGAAAAGACTCTTCATCCCTGTTCTTCCAAGCAAGTTGGTATGGTACTCTGTATGTACCGTCAAACAACTCCGGGTTCCCACTCCAGTTCGAGGCTATGGAGAGAGTATTTAGGGCCAGGGTCGTTCTCCAGCGACTCGACTTGAGAAGGCTTGGTTGGATTTCCCTGGAGCCTACAGTGGACGGTCCACCAAACAGCACACTAGCACGGTCCGCTAGCCATCCTTCCCTCGTGGATGTCTCGCTGGGACTGCTCACGCTCGTCCATTAGCGTATCACTGAGTGGAGATGATGCGACGACGTACGACAGCCCTGGTCCTGAATCCTGACAGGGGGGCGAGGAGAGGGAGGTCGAAGAGGATCGATTTCCTGAGCTAGTTGCAGCACACTGACAGGGCTTCTGACGGCCGGTTTGTTTCCCTTTGACCCGATACCTGCTTCCATCCACTTGACCACTTCCGTATACTCCTACGAATCCTATACTCCAAGTTAACCTTAACTCATTCTTAGGATCTGCTACATACGTAAGAACTGGTCGTGGGAGCTCCCCGCTTGCGTTGATCATAGTCTTGTGTGTATGGGATCCCAAGAGCGCGGGTTCTCTAACCGCCCAGTGTGAGACTCTTTGTTAGCTTAGTGTTTCATCCCGGCCATTCCTGGGTGCCCTATCTTTCTTTCTCCACGACTCGGTCATGCCTTGGCACTCTGCTAGACGGCTCGGTGAGTCGCAGCCGGTGATCTAGCAACTCGCCATGTTGGCGGACTCGATGGCCGTTGTCCCTTCTGGGTCTGCTCTGCAGGCTAAGCTTGACTGGAACGCAGGTCCGTCAAATGAGTGACGTGAAGTGATTTGATTTTTTGAGGGGATTTTATTTTCTCACTTGGATTATTTCGGCTTGGATCGATTTCATGTATTATTTATTATTTATTATTTTTATTTTTTTATTAGTTCCCATAATTTCTAATATTTTTGATTTTGATTTTTGGGTAAGCTGGAGATTTGTATTTTATTTTTACCCTTTTTACCCACCTGCATCTTGCTCCTTCTGGCCGTATACTTCGGCTGTCTCGCTCAAATCCGAAATACTACCTACCTTGGTTTTTTCCTTTTTTCCTCTCCCATTTGTTGTTATCTTCCAGAACGTTTCCTCTACCGTCCACTATTGATAGTACTGTTATATATCCTACACCCTATCATCTTGAAATCCGGGCGCACACGTAGCCCGGGGGAACGAATCCAGATTTGTTGTGACAGTCGTTATCCCACAATTCCTTTTCCTGACGGTTCTGCATTATCAAGCAACGGGGGCCCACGGGTGACAAGCCGTTTGGGAGAATTCTAGTTGCTGATCATCTTTCATTGAAAAAGTACCTAAAATCCTTTACTACTCAGATCTGGCAAAGTCGATTTTCCCGTTTCCTGGACATCCTGCAGCAGTTGAAGAACGGTAGCCTTTTGGAAGCGGTCTAGCTCGAGCAACCGTCGCATCCCCTGGTGAGCGCAATCTAATCCATCCCCTTTACTCAGCGTCGGTACAAGGCGACCGTCCAGGTCGTCTTCATCTCTCCCCTCCTCTAAATGAATCTGACAATCCCCTGATATCTCCGAGCTACTGCCATTCCCCTCTTCCTCCCTGTCGTGACCTTGAACCGACCCCATTGCCCAATTCTAGGCCCCCGTGTGTGTGTGTATGTGTCTCTGACTCTGGAACAGCTTCGGGCCTTTTAACTTGGCTAGTAATTAGCAAAAGCATGAGGCTTGGGTACTTTTGATCAAGGTCGTTTGTATAGTGTATGGGGAGAGGGTGTGCTTTGTTTTTGTTTTGGTCCCACGCCTCAAGAATCAGCCCACGGCTTCCCATTCAAATATCGGTCCCAGTCTCATTGTCACTCTTTCGGCGAAGTGTCATCTATCCGCGTTGACACCTCCACATCTCGTTTAGACGTACTCCCTTCTTTTTTTTTTTTTCTTTTATAAACGTGATCAGGTAGCCTGCCAGGGCTTTTATGCTCTAGCAGCGCTGATGTATGTCTGCGACGCTGGCGGATCCATATCGAGACTATGCCATTGATTACGCTCAACATGCCAGCTGCAAGCCCGAGGAACATACAAGCACGCTTGTTTACCACACGCATCAGCCACAACTGCAACATCCAAAGCCGCCAGAGTCTCCTTTCCAGCAAGGAAGTTCGCGCAGCACGGCATTTGAGCACCATCATGCAAACGCGACCGTTCTCCCAACTGCGAATCACCAACCGACAGTCCATGGACTCTCCCAACAGGTCGTTCTCACACCGGCCCAAATGCTTTCACGGCAGCTTCCGGTACATTATACACCGACTAGCTTCGAAATCCCGTCAATACAGCGGAGTAAAAAGCGGCACCATTCCGAAACTGAGGCAGAGGGCGATGACGCAAATCATGGGATCAGGCCACAGTTATCGATCCTCCCATCGGAATCATCTGCTGAACCGACGCACCACTCACCCGAGATGCTCTTCTCGGTTCACGGGGACGCTGGGCAACACCATCAGATGCAAGGCCATGACCTTGGATCGCAGGATTCGGTGGCCCTCCCACAACATCACCACCACCATCGTCTCCCCCCACACGCGTCGTTACGCGACTCCCAGCGTCATAGTATGAATATGGAATCATCTCCGTTCCCCTCTGGCCCGCCAAGTGTTGTGGGCCAGCCTGGGATGCCCGATCCAGCACCCAGGCCACGGGGGCCCAAGCTCAAGTTTACGCCGGAAGAGGACGCTTTGCTGGTAGAACTGAAGGAGAACAAAAACTTAACATGGAAACAAATCGCCGATTTTTTCCCGGGTCGAACAAGTGGTACATTGCAAGTCCGGTACTGCACCAAGTTAAAGGCTAAGGATGTGGCATGGAGCGATGAAATGGTGCGCATTTCCAATCCGTAACAGTATGACACCGGTAGATAGGACATACTAACTTTGTGTGGACAGGTCCAACGGCTACAGCGTGCGATGCAGGAGTACGAGAACGACCGCTGGCGTATCATTGCGGGGAAAGTTGGCAATGGCTTCACGCCAGCAGCTTGTCGAGAGAGGGCTTCTCAGCTCGAGAACCCTCCATGATAGTTACGAGTGGATGTGTTTCCCATTAGCGCCGGCGTACGCTCACCCAATATCTGCTTTGTTACGTCTTATTCATTACCCTTTTTTCATTTCTTGGTAGGTTGTAATGGGGAATTTGGATGGCCACGGTTTAGCTCTATACCAGACAACTCGGTGTAAGGTAGAGGATAATGTATGTATCATATCCATTTAGCGATGCCCAACGTGAATAGTAATTTCATTTGTTTTGTCCAAGTTGCCGCCCGGTGCTTCCTTCCGGGTACCAATGGGTCAAATGCCATTGAGTTCCATCTGCGTGAGAGAAAGCACGAAGTAGTCTCTGGTGATAAACATCAAATGATGGAGATGCAAGAACCCTAAGCCCTATCAGGCGTCGAATCGGGCAATTAGTGCACAAGTGGTCAGTCCGGGTCGCCGTAGCAGCTCCGCAACCAATCAACCCGCACTGCTGACTATTCGCCCGACCACGGGCCGAAGCGGCTTCAAACTCACCTCAAACCTCCAAACTCCCTCTGCTCCAAACGTCCTCACCTCCCTCCTCCGCCGTTATAGCCCCAATTCACTAGGACAATGTTCCTCCAACGCACAGCCTTCGCCCTCGCGCGGCGCACTCCCATCAGGGCCGTCGCTGCCCGCCCTTTCTCCTCCTCCGTCATCCGCTGTACGTGAGCCCAATGTCAAATTCAAGACCGCTTCTTGAGAGCCTTCGTCGCAGTCACCACCCTTCCTGTGACCCCATTGGGCCCTGGAAATGGGATTTTCCCACCGTCAAGGCAGTCTTATCGACGCACTAGCTAACATTGAGTCTTTGTTTGCAGCCAACAAGGCGAAGTACGGTGTTGAGAAGGATGGCAAGATCCTTCTTTCGAAGGTTGGTTGCCGGACCTGTTGTCATACGATTGGCAAATGCCCGTCTATAACCGTTTTCCCAATCCGTGTGCTCTTGTAGTTGCGGATTATGTCATTGGAGTAAACCTCCATTGCAGGCCTATCTTCTTCTCTTCGACATCTTGATTCACCACCCACTACGCTTTGGCAAACAATGCTGACCGGCTCTTTTCCACAACAGAGATCAAGACCGAGGAGGACCTCGTCCCCCCCGGTGCTAAGTCCGGTACCGTTCCCTCCGACCTCGAGCACGCCACTGGTCTCGAGCGTCTTGAACTCGTCGGAAAGATGCAAGGCATTGACATCTTCGACATGAGGCCCCTCGATGCCTCCCGGAAGGGTACGCTCCCTTTTAATCCTACGAATTTTTCGGTGGTTTACACGCGTGTGCATCCAAATGGGACCACTGCGATGATACCAACACAGACGAACCGTGAACTGACACGCAATGTCTTACAGGAACTCTCGAGAACCCCATCATCGTCAACGGTGCTGGTGACGAGCAGTATGCTGGTTGCACCGGTTTCCCCGCTGACTCCCACACCGTCAACTGGCTGACCGTAAGTCTTTGTATTGCCATTGAGTGGTATGCTCGGTATCTGCGCACGGAACGCTAATTGAATCAATTCAGGTCTCTCGTGACCGCCCCATCGAGCGCTGCGGCGAGTGCGGCAACGTTGTCAAGCTCAACTACGTCGGACCCTTGGAGGACGCCCATGACCGTAAGTCGCCTATACTTGTTGAAGCTCTCTCCCCTGCTCACTCAATCCTTCCAGACGATCACGGCCACGGCCACGGCCACCCCACTCCTGAGGAGCCCAAGACTTTCGCCGACTACGTCAAGCCTGAGTACTGGTACCGGTAAATATTTGACACAATAATAGCGCAATCATCTTTTCGCCTCGTGGGGAAAAGAATGGAGGATTTATGAAAAAGAGAGAAGGGGGTGGCTGTATCAATCCGGCATTTGTCTCTTGTAGAATAGTTGAGTTGAAAGAAGTGATTGGTGTCTAATTGATTATTGGCTTTTTTTCGCTCTTTTTTGTCTACATTTTCTAACAGGGCTAGCTCGAAACTCTGCCCATGGTTATCTGCGAGCGAGACAAAGAGTATGAATGACATGACTCGAGATCGGGTGGCATGATGCGGTAAGCCCGGGAAATTTACGTATCTCGATCACTATCACGTGGCAATTCTTCCTTCCGGACCAATGTCTATGGCTGTATTTTCCGCTTACCCATATAGTATACCCGGAACTGGCAATACCGTTTTTACTTGTCTCACATGTATGATTACACTAATATTGCTAATATCAAGAATTGAGATTAAGGGTGTGCGAGATAGCCAACGGAAGTAGAGTAAATGTCACAAATACAGTACATAGTTTATATTGGGGCTGATAGACGCCCAAAATGGAGATTGATTGGGAAGATAAATGATTGTGTAGTTTCAAGGGGTAATGAATGGCATTGTGCCCAGACTGTTGCTTTTGGTGAGATTAATTGAAGATGACGGTTTGGTCTTTCGTTGTTCCCTGCTGGCTCAAGACGACGTTTATATAAAGCAGAGGGACCGTGTATGTGTATACACCTTTTTTTAAGACATGAGTCGAAAGTAAGCGGTTGATTGTAGGTGTTCCGGATAATCTTAGACAGTTATCGGCCCAACATGCGCAGCTCGACATACCGTAATGGCGGGTACACGAGGCCAGCCCAGGTGAATCCAACGTAGTTACCCATCTATCCGCGATTAGATGTGTTCTTGTTAAGGTGGTGGGAAGAGCAATGCATCACTTACATCTGCACCATATTCACCCACTAATCTGGAGAGAGGGCCAATATACCAGACTTGCGCCATGCACAGGATTGCGCCGACCCAACCGACTACGAAGGCGACAAATGCGGCTATGCCCACAGGGAGCTTTGAGGGGTCATTCCACACATTCCAGTTATACCCAGTACGAAATCGGAAGATGAACCGCTCTTCGAGAATGATGGCGAACCATATTGCGACCCAGTAGCCCATGAGAGCGAGGAAATTGGTGAAAATGTCGGAAAGGTTGCTACGACCGACTAATGCGCAGACGGTGTAGATTATAACACCGATGGTGTTCCATATAGCTCTCGGTACCTTCTCAGCGTACCGTCCAAGGACCTGGAAGTCGACACCGGCAGAATAGGTCGGTGGGATGGTATTTGCGATAAGCCCTAGCGCAACAACCACTGAGCAGAACTTGCCGAACCCATGAAGAGGTCCGAATCCTTCGACGATAAGTGCACCTGCACCCCTAGAGTATGCTGCGCCGTACTCTGGATGACTTGAAATACCAGATGCAAGTCCTATACCGACAAGAAACGCCATAGTGAATGATACCATAAGGCCTACCAATGAAAGAGAGAAGAGTGTCACTCGGGAGGTTCTCTCAGGGTAATAGACGAAGAAGTCGGCCGCCAGCGGAGCATAGGTGATCGCAGCACTGAGACAGATAGAGAAAAACGACAACCTAATGACATAAAGTTGTATTAGCCATTGCCACAGCAATATAGCAAAAGTCATGGAGGCGTACCGATTCCCAGCAAGTGTGCGAGGATCTCCAGATGAAGGCGTGGATAGATCAAACTTCGATGAAGACACAGCGTATAGTATAGAGACTACGATAATCTGGGGAAAGAACGCGAAGCTTGATGCAGTCAGTGCCCGACTAAACTTATCAAGGGTATTCACACGCACCGTTCGTAGTAATGGAAGACCTGATAGCCGAACGTGGCTATCACCCAACAACTGACTGCAATGATCACGATGCCTGCCATTGGATCAGCACCTGTACTTGAAGTTCTCAACACCATGATAACCTACCGACAGCTACCGACATGTTCCCATTTGGTGACACGGCAGACAAGATCTGCCCGCACACTACGCAATCAATTAAGGAGTACCCAAGCATTTGGATTAGATTCAGGATGACGACAATCTTGCTCGGCCACCACCCCATCGTATAGCGTCCGAATGCCTGAATCATGTTAGCATACAGCAAAATAGTCGGCTTAGCCTGTGAAAAGCCCACCATAGTCCGGACGCCGGAGACTGGCCCCCATGTAGCCATCCATGAGGCAACTAATGCGCCAACGAGAGCACCCAGAACCGCACAGAGTGCCGAATCCAGGAAGCTCAAGCCATATACAACGGGCCCCAGCATTCCTAGGGTAATGTTGTTGGCTGCCAAATTGATTGAGACCCAGAGCAAGAACGCTTGAAGGTACGAGACCCAAGTCAACTTTTTCATCCGTTCATGTTGCTGCACCCTTTCAATACCACGGGCTTCCAGGTTGTATTCAATCAGTTGGTTTTCAAACCTCTTAACATATGCGGCAATGCGTGGCGATAAGAAAGGGCCGTCCACCGCATCGCGACCCTCTCCATCATACTCTACAGTATGGGGCGGGTGATCAGTGAGGGGAGTCTTTGACGGTTCTTTTTCGGATTTTACCCCTAGGGTAGACAAGGGACGCTCCGAGGACATGCTGTTACTATCCAGTCAGTATCAACACATGTAGAGAGTCAGGGTTAAAAAAGCGCGCATGAGTCCTTTCGCTGGAATTATCCAGATCAAGTTCAACCGTATATTCTCAGAACGACAACTGCCACCACATCATCTGCACCCACGTTTAAGGACAACAAGCCAAGAAACACGCGAGTCATGACCGGGCATATTGCAGCAGATTTGTGTATGACAGCGTTGCCGAACACCGGTCTTCATGCAGGCGTATTACCTAGATACCTTGATCGACAGACAAAACCACGCTACTTGTCTTCATGATAGCCATCCCTTGCATAGAGATCCTGCGATAAGACGGGAGAGTTGTACTCGTAACAATTGCTTTTTGTTTTCCCCACCGGCTTGGGTGAATCCGTTTGCAACTACGACTTGGAAGACTCGGAAAGTTAGCCAGTCGAACTCTCAATTGTATTAGACGGAAATCTTTTCCTCGAAAAGGTGTAGTGGAGTTCACCTGGGAAGTATATAAAGGATCCTGTTGCGATATGGAGAAAGCTGGTCAGCGTTATGAAAGCTTCGCGAACAAGATGACTCGAGTAAAGAAGTGGCAAAGGGGATGTCACTTTTTTTATTTTCAGAGGAAAGATTCCCACTTTCTTGCCGCGGGGAAGTCATTTAGTCGGTTATCCGCTCCGATAGCGGATTCCGCCAATGATAAAGCTACACCCGTTGTTGACGTACCTTTGAATCATGGAGAATTCAACATACATCCAATGACATAGGTACGGAACTTATGGAGCTGGGCGCATCAACGGGTTTCACTTGCTATCGCAGAGATCGATCGCCGACTACATATGGGTTAGGCAGAATATCTACAGTCGATATTGGTAGAAGCACTGATAGGTCGGTCTATTTGCTGGCTGCTTCTTCAAGGCCTGGATATGACGCAGGTTCATCGCATTGGTTTAGAGGACTATCATGGACTGCGAATCAAGAGCTGTAAACGACAAGGGGGTATTCCAAATGTAAACGAAGAGAAGAGTAGAACAAAGCGAAAGGACAGGAAGGCCAACTCCAAGCACTTCGCCAAGCATTGTGCAAATTGTTGTCAAATAGAAAACAAGAAAGAACATGCATTGCTGTTGCGCGAATCCAGTTCCCCGGCAACATGAACGAACGTTTTAGATATCCCATGCACTGATAATCATGTCTTCGTCAAATTCCGTCGAGCGTCTAGAGGTCCTTAAAGTGCTCTTTCGCATACTGTTCACATGCCTATATCCATGTCAAAAATTGGACTCGGTTTAGAATCTCTGGAGCTCACCTTGGCCGGTTTTCCAACTTTTTGTCCGATGACTTTCCATTTGCTCGCCTCATATTCCTTGATTGCCTCGCGGAGCGCTATGGACTGCATGGTGTCAGACGCTGTATGGTAATAGAGACCTCCCTCGAAGTGCTATAATTTACCTCGTCTTCATCAAATTCGGCATAGTGCATATCCTAATTAAGAATATTAGCCGCTGGACAATGGCACAATCCAGAAAAATGGCAAACACGCTACCTTATACCAGTGCTTTTTAACACTCCCCTCAGTTCGATTCGGAAATGTCTATGAGTTTCAATCAGTAGCACATCCGTGGCCGTGGATGGGATCCGACAGCGGCCTACCTTAGCAATCTCACTCCAGCTGCGACCAGCATCGCGCATTGTCTTTAGCCGCTGCTCTTCCTCCGCAGTCCACGGAGTGTTGGTCCTTCCCTTTTTCTTGGGGGGAGCTTCTGGCGCCCCTGGCCCAGGTTCAAGTGTGGCTTCGGCCGCAGCGGTTGTAGTCCCAGATGCTGTCATGGTTGTCGCAGTGCTTACCTGGGGCGAAGCACGGCGCTTTTTGGGGTTGGGGGGAGAAAGCTGAGATTGGGGCATAGGAATGCCCTCGAATGAAGGCACTCTGTGAAATGGATTGACCTGCTGCGGAGCTAGCAGGTGAGATGGCGCGTTGGTCGATGGAGACGCCTTGACTCGTTTGGAGGTTGGAGGGGTTCTAGATGAGTGTCAGGGAAGAAAAAGCAGGATTTGAGATGGTGAATTGCGTTAAGGAACAGTGAACTGGGCCTCAGATGAAACAGTAATGATACAAGTATATCAATCGAACGAGGAATAATCGTCAACGAACGGATAAACTCAAGACCATTCAACTCTGCAAGTCACATGTGATGGACCGAAGAACGGAAAAAGTAAAAAAAAAAAAAAAAAAAAAAGGCACATGACACGAGGAATATATATACGGATGAAGAGGGCAAGGGCAGCTAGGTAGGTAAAGGTTGTTGTTGCGCCGCACTACCGAAGCCTCTTTTTCCCTGGGAAGGGAAGGACGAAAAGGAACACTTACGACATGGTGGACGATGCGCAGTATTCCCAATCACGCTGCGTCGATTCATCTGTAAATACACATGCTTAAGAGATTAGCAATCCGCTACTCCAGAGTAGATTGGCCTGTCCAGTCCAGGGAAAGCAGCTTTTGGTTACACCGAAAAAACAATGACGATGACACGGGCGCATCCCACGGTGTGGCAGTAGTGCTGCAGGATGTCAAGCACGTACGGCACGCACAGGAATGTGAAAGTGGTTGGGGGAGATTACGTGCATATGAATGCTCGGTGAGGTTGATGCTTGTACAATATAGCTGTGGGAGTTAATCGGGAAGAAAATGATATGATATCAAACTCAACAGCGGGAACCCGATATGCAGGAAGTTGAGAGAGAAGGAAATCGGGGAAGTAGAATGGCAACGAAGAAAAACCAATAATAATATATAAACAGGCTTAGGCACAATCATCCGAAGACTTTTCTAGCATAGGAAGAGCTGGAGGTGGAGGAGTAACAGTATGGGAATACAAAGGCTGGAAATAGTATGATAGAGGAGGAGTACTGGACGAGCGACGGTAAGATGATCCGGTCAGAAGAAAAGAGCGGAGAAGATCAATAGGCAGCATACGTACTGGTCAAAGTTCATGGCTGAGGGACTCTTTTTCCTCAAGGGTTCGGATCAAATCCAATAGAAGGAAACAAAGAGGTGAAGTTACATGGAATAGAGAAATAAATGATACACAAGTGAGAAAGAGAAAAGGTGAAGAGTGAGCTGAGAAGAAAATACTTTACTTGTACAGTAAAGTTCCTGTACAGTAACAGCTGAGGGGAAATCAAATTAATTCTGTACTAGAGAAAAGCATCCAATCCCGACGTCTCCGAGCTTTACTTGCTTTTTATAATAAATCATAATAATTATTCATTTATTTTTTCTAACCTTTAACCCCAGTCGTTAGTCCATTCTGCAGGTAATCCCCAATAATAACATACCTCACAAAAAAAAAGGCATTATAAAGAATCCTTCTATTGAGGTCCTATCCTAACGGCTTCCTTCAAACCAAGGTTACCGAGAACGGCGTATACACTACAAGCTTCAGTCTGTCAGATTCCTGTAGTATCAAATATACTGTAAACCTCCGGTGATTGTGCTATGGTCGAGACTTCATGACTTAGCGCAAATTACCAGCCACCAAAGCCCTCTATGTCAAACCCTATGTCAAGGCGAGTATCCAGGTGACAAGCCAGCGTTGTTGGACACCCAACGGGGTAATCTACAGGTATCAGTCTAGACAAAACCGTGTCAGTCCATAGAGCTCCATTCCATCACTGGCCTTTCTTTCTGGGCTAACCTGACAACGCTGCAGTTGTCCAGTTGGGGCCAAGCAGTCTGACATCGCCTGTCATGAGGGGCTTTCTATCCAGTGTGCTCTGACCACCACCGACTACTACTAGGGCGACATTAATCCGTCTTACTTGGCAGGCAAAAAAAAAAAGCAAATGGGTATGCTCATGGATAAGAATCAGGTTTGTTTGTTTTTGAGTTTCCATCCTTTTTCGATCCTCGTACTCGAAATTAACTATGGGAAGTGGGGTAACGCTCAACCATAAATCAGTTAAGTATAGTTAATTGGTACCTGTGTGTCAACATGACATCTGCACCGTTAGATCGGTTCATAATGCAAGGTTCTATTGTGTTTATCAATAATTTTATTCTTATTATCATTCTGAGTCCGCTTGTAAGAAATATTATATAAATAGGAGGTATCCGTTGTTGTGTACATATAGTCATTATCGGGTTTGTGCATATATCATCTATATAAAGAGAGTACGGCAGAAGGGGCGCGTGATCGTTTTGGCATCAACTTGACTCGACCGATATCATTCCGTAGCTACTTTTGTAAACTGCTCACGGGAGGAATGGATTCTACGTATTGAGGATGCCTTCCAAATCCTCGAGTCTAATAACCCCTTCTATATACCTGTCCCTACGATCTCGAATTAGTGGATATCGTAGTGCTTTATCATATACAACATGCGATCAGAGGACTTCTTGACGTCATCACTGATAAGGACTGCTCACGTGATGTACACGCGGCCCCGGATTCGGGGTGGACCCCAATGAGCTCAGCTCCCGTGCCTTCTGTGCTCTGGAGACTGAGATACATGACACATCTGAAGGACAGAATCTCTCCGTGTCCTCTACGTGTTGACCGCCCCTTCTCCTGCCCTCTGCTCCCTCCTAGCACGGCTTCCCTTTTGCCACGTTGTCACTTTATTGGATTTTGGTAGAGGTAGCACATTCCAACCTGCGTTTACGAAGCAGCAATTGTGCAACACCACGCGAAGCTTTCGAGTACTGTCCTGATAGCTTCGAGAAGGACGGGCGATCCCGAGGCAGTAGGTCTCTAAGTAGCAATCGGACTGTCTTGATGGCTATTGCTTGGATGGTGTCGTAATTCCTGAACATTGAACCCCTACTTACAAGCCATATACTTGAGACACCCTGCGTTGGCTGATTTGGATATCACAATACAATGGACCCAAAGTGGAACGTTTTTCGCATATTGGGCGATCTCGCCCATATCTCTTCAAAATGCATCTTGCTGTGGGCCATCCATCGCAACAAGAGCGCGGAAGGTCTGTACGCTGTCCCAGTTATCGATAGACATTATACTCACCTACTGCTTTTCATTACAGGTGTTTCGCTTCTTACCCAGGTGCTATATCTGGTAGTCTTTCTCAGTCGTTATCTCGAACTGTTCATAGGGAGAGGATGGGGGACCTTTTATCTCGTGTTTTTCAAGCTCTTTTACATCTTTTCTTCGGCATATATCATCTTTTTGATGATGAAGGTATACCCCCGGACACGGGAAAGGGAGCGGGCATGGAAGCTGGCCTTAGGCTCTGCTGCGGCGTCTTTAGTGTTAGCACCGATCTTGATGCTAATATTCAGGCATCCTTTGCCCCAGAGATGGTTCACGGAGGTGAGTTAGCCTAGGGATACATCATTTGTTGTGGACTAGACTAACGAGGTGGGGCCTGCGCTATATAACTATATAGATTTGGTGGACATTCTCGATTGTTCTGGAGTCCGTTTGCGTGCTCCCCCAATTACTGCTCCTACGCCAGACCACTGTCCCTACTGTCATCGACTCCTATTATCTCCTCACATTAGGCTCCTACCGGGCATTCTACATTCTGAACTGGCTGTATCGGGGATTTGCTTCACATTACTGGGACCCCATTTCAGATATTTTTGGCATCGTCCAGACCGCGTTCTACATTGACTTCGCTTGGGTCTACTATACGCGACAGCGTGTAAAACTCCGCAACGGTGGCGTTGTAGACTCTGAGGATTTCCGGAACAGCTGGCTGGTTAACAAAGTGTTCAGTTTCAGGCAGCGACGGAGTGTCGATGAAGAGCAGCACCTCCACGATGAAGGAGCAGAAGCTGGACATGGGGCTGAGGGCGAACGACCGAGAAACAACCGCTGGGGCGCTCGAGGGATATCCATCTCAGCAGATGACACATTGAACGAGAGTCCCCACGCCAAACCCAGCAGCGCAAGTGACGGCCGGCTGGAGGGATTCCTGGAGGACGAAGAGGACGGTTGGGAAGAGCACGCGAACCAGCAAACACAGCACAAGCATTCTCCTGATGCGACAGACGATCAGAAGTGATCTACTGATTGATGATGGGGGGAGGGGTTTTGCTTATAGAAGGCTTTTGTTGCGGGTTTGACATGTGCGTTAGGATTTCTGGGTTTATTTTGGGGGCTTGTGTCATCATGATTCCTACTCTTACAATCAAGTGAAACGACATTGAATTTTTGAATTAGTAGCGATCGACTAACATTCGGTGTGAAACTGAAATTGGAATGATGGATGCTATTTTTGGAATGAAATCAGCCCTGTCAGGGCCTTAGGGACCCTGATTTGATATAATTTTCAATGATAATCTGCATGGTCCGGGAGGGGCGGAGTTGAAGAGAGAGCTAAATAATTGGAGAGTTTTGAAGACTAAAATTAAAAACAAATAGTAATGGCAAATAAGAACATCACCTAAAGCAAGTCTATCTGTCCATGAAAAAAAGCATTAATGAAAAGCGAACGTGGAGCCGTTGTTTCAAGAATTGCTCTGAGCCATGCTGCGCCATTTCATAGCCACGGACCCCATGACAAGGCCGTTGAGATTACATCCATGTTCGGTAAACAAAGGGAGGGGGCCAAGTTGAAGTTAGAAGGGTAAAACTGCCTGATCAGCGTTCGGAAGTCGGCTTTTGGGGGTGGGAAATAGGTTCGCGAATCCCTGCTCCATACGATGGTTTAGTAAGGAAGTATCGAGGGCGGCCAGCGTGCAAGCTGCAAACTGGTACCCTATCCTCCGTACTATGGGCTGATGCTGATTTGAAATTCTTTTTAATTAGCCCTTCCCCTTCCAGTTTTAGCCCCAATCCTGTGACATCACGTGCCGGCCCCTTCCCGCCATGGAGATGCATCATTGCAATGTCCTTCGTCTGGATGGGTGGTGGTGAGGGGTCGACTAGAAAATTACACGACTATCAGCCTCAGTATGCTGTGCTTGGGGGCCGGGGGAGGGAAGGAGGGGGAGAAAATGCTGTGTTCTTCATGATCATGGCGAGAAAAATTCCCCGTGATGGATCTGTTTAAGCGCTTGTGCCATCCCGACTCCCGAGATCCACTGCTGACGGTCTGGAAATGAGGCTCAAAGCCAATCTCTCATCTCATCTGGCGCCTAACCATTTGATATCGTCGGAGACACGTGGCGCTGGTTGGATCATTTGGATGCACACCACCGGCAGGATTCTTGAGGATTACTACCTTATGTCTGAGAGTCTGGACAACTAATGAAGTAACTTTGCTAGACACATTTCCTGAAAGAGTTGAAATGTCATCGTGGTGGTCAGAGCAATATCCCCAGTCCTGTCAATCCCGCTAACTTTGACTAGTTCGTTCCTCATCCACCGGGGATTTGCAGCCGCAGCAACGAAGCAGCGCTTAATGACCCGCTTTGGTTCTTCCGGAGCAGCCCATCCATAAGCTTTGTCCGTTCTGTTGATGGAACTGGACCCTATGGGGATATTCGGGTCTTAGTCGATGGAGCAAATGTTTTCTATGTGTCTTGTGCCTCCCCATTTCATAGACTCACTCGTTCCGGACTTTTTCTAGGTAAGGAATCCTAGTTGATGACCCTATTATTATTGGGGCTACACACTAGTAGCTTATCTATCAACTTCTCCGGCCCTTTAGGCCTCCCCACTCGTGTAGTGACTAGAAGTTATAGAAGGGCGTTCGCTTGCCTTGTGTCCAGGAAATTTGTTTTTGATTATTTTTTATTTTTTTTTATTTTCATTTTTTGTTTCTAAAATTTATTTTGATTTGATATCTTTTTTTTTTTTTAAAATTTTTTCTTTTGTTCCTTCCAAATGACCCTCCCTTTCAATTGAACCTGGCAAAGTCTGTTTATTATTACTAGCATTTTCTTGTGAGATCCAGCGCTAATTTCCCCCCGACCGTCCTTCTAATTCTAGGATACGGCGGGCCGCTAAGCACCGATCCCATTCCTTTGCCATGATGTCCAACCCATGGTTTCCACCCCTGGAGATCCAGAGCACTGGGACTATGATCGCAGGTGCTGCCTTGCCATCGAACAGCCATGTGGGCCTTTGAAATGCAAAGTCTGCGCCCCCGAAAGTTTGGGGGCTGGAATTCTTCTCCCCATGTTATGTCAAAGGATGAGCCATGGCTTTTTCTAAGACGCCAATGTTTTCTATCGGGATAAGTTGGCGCTTAAATGCGGGCTCATCGTCAAGTTTACACCTCTGGTTAAGAGCGACTTAGTGCGGCACAGCGTGGTGGGCGGTATCTACACATCTCTTAGAGCTCTCTAGACCTGTTGACAGGGAAGAAAAAGTGTTCAAGAATTCTAGCCTGCCTCGCAAGGCAGCCCCCCTCCTCTCGTTGTGCTGTACCAAGGATATGAACCTACATAACATTCCCGTTATCACTTTGTTTCTTCTATCTATTTAATGCAGCAGTCTCTCCTCAGCCGTGGTTTCAGTGTTGCGAAGGACGTTAACTTTCATTGGCTTTCCCCAAAGGCACTACTGCTTATATACTACCACCTCTGGCCCCAATAAATACGTTGATTTTCATTCTTTGCCGCTGTGGTTGTTGCTTCCTCTGTCGTTGTTTCATCAAACGTTTGATCCTCCCGCCACTACATACTGTTGGTCCTCCTATCGGCTTGCTCCATGTTCCCTCGGACTCCAGGCGACTACACCGGGCCAACGCCGTATGGACCAGGTGGTCCTCACCCCGAAGAAGGAATGGATAACTTCTATGAGACGTATCAAGCTCCATGGCCTGGAGTAGAAGCTGTACGTGCGAACGTGATGCCCACGCAGAGACGTCATATGCTGACAAGCTCCGGTGTTCCACAGTCACCCTATGGAGGCGTCAACCACCCTTACAATACCACGGCAGCCTTTCCGTCCAATGCCATTTTAACACCAATTAGTCTTCCTGACAGTTCTTTTGCTCATGCCCGACCTAGCTCGGTTCTCAGTCATCATTCACAAGAATATGCATACTGCATGGCTGAATCTGTCCCCTCACATGGACTGGGAATCACCGCGCCCTTTCCAAGTGATTTCCCGCGAACTGTAACTGCTGGTCTAGGCCCTGTTCCCGACCCAGATTATGTCTTCAGTGGAGCCGCCCTGTCACCTCCACCACCTCCTGTTAAGCGGACCCGGCGAAGTCCTAAACCAACGGCGGCAGCTCGTGAAGGACCAGTCACCATACTGCCTCATCCGGAAGGTCTCCAGCGATTAGAGCAGGAACGCCGGCGGGAGCAAGTCGACCCTCAGTCACACCAACGACCTCGGGCCCCCGGCCGAGGGCGACGAGACCCACAAGCCGAAGAAGAGGATGCATTTGTTGAACAATTGCGGGAACAGAACCTGGCATGGAAGCACATCCGGGAGATGTTTCGGGAGAAGTTCAACAAGGACGCATCGGAGGCCCGCCTACAGATGCGGATGCTGCGCAGGCGCAAAGACCGCTCGGCTCGGTGGGAAGAGAGCGATGTGAGTACGTACATCGCAACCCCCTCCTCATTTATGCCAAGTGCTAATGACCAGGTCGTTTAGATTCGGCTACTCATAAGGGCTAGAGATTATTGGGAGAGGGAAAAGTATAATTTAATAGCACAAAAGGTGAGGTCTCATACGCAGAGAGTGAGTAGTATTGGTAACCTGCCTGCTAACATCAAGGCATTAGATGCACGAGCTAGGGGCGAAGAAACCTTACACAGCACAACAATGCGAAGCACAACTACGGTATCTAGATTCTCGTCGTGAGGGTGACACCTCATTGACACGAATAGCGGATGCGCGAAGACGAGGTACGATGAAATCCCCTCGAGGGATTGTCCGCGTGACGACCGCCTAGTCTTTCTCCACGTCCTCTTTTACCTATTCTTTCGTTCTTTCTCTCTACGATGGCCCTTTTTCTTAGATCCTATTCATCCCTGACCTGCGTGGGTTTACTAGCAAGCACGGAGTTTTGATAACGAGATTATTGCATGACCAGCTAGCGTTGTTTGATGCCTTCTGTTTCTTTCCTTTATTATTATTATTACTATTATTTTCCCCTTCAAACCCTTGACCTGTTAGTTCCGACATCTTGTCTCAGATACTGGAGATATACCCTGACTGAACCACCAAATGAAAAGTGTCACTATTCCAAAAATCTCAAGGAAGCTAAAAAGCAAAGCTCCCCCAGTAATCTGAGAAACGTAATCAAAGAACGGTCCCACCATGATAAAGAGAAGCCAACCGCTCCAGAAGCCAGGATTTCAAATTTCTTTTTTTTTTTTTTTTTTTT